CTGGCTTTTAAGATCTCAGTGAGCAAACTACATGTATCCCTCACACCAAAGGCTCCAGGAAAGATCCTCTGAATGCAGCAGATGGGGGGTGGGTAATGAAAGCAATTGGAGATGCTCCCATGGATGACTTTAAAGGTCTCACTAGGGGACTTCCCTGGAGGTCCAGTGGTTAAGATTCTGTGCTTCCACTGCAGGGGGCGGGGGTTCGATCCCTGGTCAGGGAACTAAGATTCCGCATGCCATGTGGTGCAGCCAAAAAAAATAAACAAAGAAACAAACACATAAATAAATAAAATAAAGGTCTCGCTAGATGATATAAGAAAATGTGGACAGGGCTTCCCTGGTGGCGCAGTGGTTGAGAGTCCGCCTGCCGATGCAGGGGACGCGGGTTCGTGCCCCGGTCCGGGAAGATCCCACATGTCGCGGAGCGGCTGGGCCCGTGAGCCAGGGCCGCTGAGCCTGAGCATCCGGAGCCTGTGCTCCGCAGCGAGAGAGGCCACAACAGTGAGAGGCCCACTTACCGCAAAAAAAAAAAAAAAGAAAAGAAAAGAAAATGTGGACACATTTGAAGTGGAAAATCGAGAAGATCCTGGTAAAATACTTCAAGAGCTATTCCTGAATTCCAGCAGAGCAGTTATTGTGTAGAGAGACTCAGACATGTCCTGTGTTATGAAGCTGCTCTACGGAGATGGTGCTCTACGGTAGGACTGGGGAGGGCAGGAACACACCTGTTGGGAAAACAATACCTGAGTGGGTGATTGGAAGACACCTCTTGTGGAGCCTGACTCCACTTAAGGGATTAAAGCTAGCAGGATGTATCTGAACAATGGAAGCCTTGGACCGATCCAGAACATTGGAAACAATTTTCAAAATAGAGTTTAGAAAAGTGTGTTAGGAGAACATATGTCTGGGACCAGCAACAAAGAGAGGGAGCTGTCCACAAGACAGAGAAGGGATGTGACTGGGGAAAGGGTGGGTTACACCATTTTCAACTTTGTGGCTCTGCTTAAAAGGAGTTGGGGAACAATAGGAGAGAGAAACGTTAGGGTGAACATCAAAGAGGTTGCAGAAAGGAATGTTTCTGCTGATACGGAAGCAGCACCAGACACTCAAGGCCTAGGACTCCAAGGCAGAAGGAAGGAGAGGCTTTGTGGGCAGAGGTGATAGAGGGACATCACCTCTGTTGCCGGCATCGTGCAATGTCAACCTAAGCTTGGGCTTAGCAACTGGACACCAACTCCAGTGGAGACAAGAGTGGGTCACAAGCTGGAGAAGTTCGAGAAGGAAGAGAATTCACAGTGATACAGGATAAATGTATCTGGGATTAGGAACACGAGGCTTAAAGGGAAATGGAAATTGCGATTCATCTTAAATATGTAAATGGATACCAGGAGGGAAGAAGGGAACCTCAAGTAGCCTGTGGTGGGAGGGCGCCCATTTTACATTTTTGAATTTTTCACAAAGACATGAATTTTTCAAAGGTCACTCTCTGAGAGAGGAGGCAGAATGCAGAGGTTGGATTGTTTGCCCCAGGATACAGGAAGAAGAGAGCAAAATTAACCTCTTGTTGGTGGCTTTTTCTCAACACCGCAGTTGATACTAGTCAACTGGCATTGTAAAGACTGAAGCAAAGATTTCCTTTTTACTTTTTTATGTGTTTTCTGTCTTTCCTGCACCCTCCCTGTATTATCAAATCCCTGATCCAGTCATTCATTAGCAATAGTCATGTGGTACCAGGATCTGGGTTCTGGGAACTTAATTTTGCTCTAGTAGTCTGGGCTTTGCTTGTGTTTTCTAAATTCTCTGAGAGGAAGCTGATCCTGGGATGCGGTTCATATGCTTCCTGAGTGACTTTTTAGGAAAAGTGGGGTGCCAGAGAAATTCAAGTCTGGATTGATGAACTTTGGAGGAACTGAAACAGCTACCCCCATTCCAGTAGAAGGGACCTCTGCTGCTGCTACAGAAGGAAGAGGGCCTTGCCTCTACCTCTGGCGATGGAGTGCCCTTTCTGGCTGATGACGAATGAGCACAGTAGGAGATCAGGAAAGGCAGAGCTGTAGACTAGCATTCCTTAGAACTTCTAGGTTATGAGAGAGGGAGATTTTATTTTAAACTTTAATTTCTCTCTGGATGTATATTAATGAGAGATTTATATTCACATGTACTGTAGCACTTGGTGCCTTTTATGCTGTCCAGAGGTGCTCACTGCCAATGCTGGTGAGCTACCCTGGACAGTACGGCTGGTTATCATGGGAGAGAGGGAATGTGGGCTTGGAGTGTCCCCTGGACATAATGAATGGACCCTATGATCTATCCAGAGGAATCCAGAAGCGTGAGCTAAGCTCTTTTGTATGGATCCCAGGTGGATAACAAGGACAAACATGTGGCCCTTTACCACTCCTCTTCCCGACCCACACACTGCCCAGGGTGCCCTCGGAAGCCTGCCCAAGGCTAGAAGCCATAGACTGTGTCTCACTGTGTCTGACTGACCCAGACAGTAAATCCATTGCTCTCTTTATTTGTACACTGTTGGAGCTTTTCTGCAAGGCGTGAGAGTAGAACCCCCAGAGCGTAGCCTCAGTCCTCTCCCCGGGCCTCTGGTGCAGAGATCCAGGGTAGAACACCCTCCTCGGCTCACCCACTAAATGATTTCATACGACTGAACTCTTGCGCCATCCTCCATGCTGAATATTTCCAGAAGGGAGGCGATATTTTGGATAACAAAGGGTGGTCGAAACACTGGGATTTTACTTTTTGTTTTAAGTGGGGAAGGTTGTGATAGTCTATAAGGATAGGCAGGTAGAACTCTATGTTGGGGGAGGGGAGTGCTGAGCATATCCGATTTTGTGATTTGAAAGCTTTAGACCACTATGCTTTGAAGTGACTGCTGGCCACCAGACTTGACCCTTCTAGACATCAATAAACATGGGAATGACTTCCTGACGGAGGGAACAGGCTGCCTTGAGGGATGGCAGCTCTCCCCTCAATATGACCACAGGCTGAGCGCCCAGTCATGAGTTTAGACAACAACAAAATTTGGAGACTGATGGGGGGGCAGTATGGGGTGGATCAGTTCTGGCCCCTTTGTGATACCCCTTTCTGGATCTTCCCTACTGAAGAGTGGCAAAGCCAAGTCTGGGATGTTACTGGAACTGTTTTTACTGGGAGAGTGTCCAGTGCAGCGAAACTGCCATGCGGGCTTGTTTTCGCCCTCACTAATCCTTTTGATCACTAGGTGTGATACAGATGGCCAGCTACTCAAGGAGTTATTGTGTGCTGTTGTTGCCAGGAAGTAGCCGCCTAGCCAGGGACCACTTTTCCATCCTCCTGCCCCACCCCCCACCCCTCACATTTAGGAATACGAATATAAGGGAGGGCTTGGTTAAGGTTTTCAAGAAATGGTGAGCCTTCTACACACTCTTTCCCTCCTGCAGGCCAGATGTGGAGGACTACAAATTCCTGCAGGGTGAAGGAGTGTGATGCCCGAATCACCGCATGGAGACAAGGTATCCTGACCAGGAACGTTTGCCGGAGGCTATTACCATTATAAGTGAGAGGTAGACTCGTACTGTATTTGAGGCACTATACATTTTGCTCTATTTGTTACAACAGTTTAGTACCACTCTAAGTAATAAACTAAATGGCTGAGTTAGGTCCACAATTTTCCAGGCAACGGAAAAAGGAAGTGGTCTGAAACTGCCTTGCATACCCAAACTCCCATAAATGTGCTCCCTTGTTCAGATGTGAAGAGGGAAGGCAAGACCTCCATCTTGGCTCCTGGAAATGCTCTCCAAATCAATATTGGCAAGCTAGTCTTATACTTTTGAGTCCATTGGACCCTTAGCTAGTCCCTTAATAAAAATAATAATTTGATCCCTGATGACTCTCCATTCCTTTGATCATGATCATTAGAATCATGATAGAGACGAAAGGGTGAGTGACTGGTGTTTTCAATACAGACCGGCCTCGCTGTGGGGCTCTGGGCGAAGCCTCCCGAGAGCTAAGGTGTGAGAATGAGAAAATGATGCGTGTGATGTCCCTAGAGGAACAATATGCAGAATGGCGGACAAGCGGCTCCACCCCACTCCATGCACGGGAGAGGGTATTAAGGGCTGGGATGCAGAATTAGCTGTTGAAGGCTGAAGTGGTGGTCCAGCCAGAACACTCTGAGACATCAAACTCTGTAACAGACCACAACCCCAAAGGGCGGGGCTCAGTGCGGGCACAGACAAACCACTGGGAGAGACACACGGGATGGAAGACATAACACACGGTAGGCGTGGACATCTAGTGGAGTGGCATCTAGCTAGCATACTTCTGAGAGCCTACAATTGGGTAGTGTTTCTAACCTAGATTCCTTCCCCTGAAGCATCTCTTGGCTACCACAATTTTCCTTATGACCAGATCACAGCAGACAAAGAGAAGGAAAGGAGAACCACTGGGCAAACAGCTGTGACTCAGAAACTTAGAAGTTATTCTGGAACGTCACCCTGATATTTTAACCGGTGCTTGGTGGATGGGAGCTAGTCACAGACAAGCAGACAAGATGGGGTGCTCTGCCCTCCTACAGCACAGCTAATATTTGCACATAAAAGATCCTTCTTTCGGGCTTCCCTGGTGGCGCAGTTGTTGAGAGTCCGCCTGCCGATGCAGGGGACACGGGTTCGTGCCCCGGTCCGGGAAGATCCCACATGCCGCGGAGCGGCTGGGCCCGTGAGCCATGGCTGCTGAGCCTGCGCGTCCGGAGCCTGTGCTCCGCAACGGGAGAGGCCACAACAGTGAGAGGCCCGCATACCGCAAAAAAAAAGATCCTTCTTTCCCCCTCTCCCTCCCTCCCTTCCTTCTTACTTCGGGGTAAGTGACGCAAGGTCATTTGCCCCACTGTCAATGTAGACTTTAAAATGATGAGGGTCACAGTTTAAAGCCACACTAACCCACGTCTTACTTTGGGGAAAGACAAGTTTCCAGCAGGTATAAATTTACACAAAATACAAGTATGCTTTTTTGCAACAAAAGAAACTATTTATTTGGAATATGCATTACCAGTACAAATTAGGAGACTGTAAAACCTACACCGTGTTAGTATCATTAGAGAACACAAAATTTCAGTTGGAATCAAAAGGGACAGAAGCCTGTGCTCTCACAGAAGCAGGAAAGCTTAAACTTTCAAAACCAAAACAGAGCAGAGCTTTGCAGGTTTATACTCTGAATAATAAGAACAGGGGAGGGGGAGCGGGAGAATAAAACCAAAAACCAAAGGAAAGCACTTCAAAATAGTTGAAAACACCAAAGGAAAGAAAAGAAGTAAAAAGAGAGAAAAGGGGGAAAACATTGGATGTTTTATTAATTTTAACAAAAGGAAAAAAAAGTTTACAAAAAAATAAAAGATTCCAGAAAGCTTTGAGCTAGGGATTGAAACCATAAAGGTGATGTGAAAAGCTTGTCATTATTTTGTTATGACTTAAAAACAAGAGTGCAAGCGTTTGGGTAGAAACACTTCCTAAAGTGTTCTTAACTCTTCTTGCTTGGGTTCTTGCTGCTTTCTGAATGCTTAATCATTTGTTGAATGAAAAACATTTAAATTAAGCTTCCTCCAGATAATATTGCTTTCTTTTCTCCCCTAACTTAACAAAAACATCCCAAATCAAGCCAGTTTGACAGCTGCCTAAATCAGAGGTTCAGACAAGGCGCACTGCCAATGAATCAGGTGTAACTGCTCAGCACTGTAATAGCACTGAGTCTGGCTCAAAAGATCAGTAGGCCAAATGACTCTAGGACGGCTTCCTGGATCTGGTCTACTCAGCCAATGGGGCACAGCCCACCAGGAGCTCCTGTGGGATTCTACTGGAAGAAAAAAATCCTCTCTAGCTGGAAAGAGTCGTGGAACGTTGTTATTAATCAGGAAGAAAGAAAAGAAAGCATTTTATTGTGTCATTCACAATCAACCAAGGCAAAAACCTTTCCCTACAGTACAAGAAGGTCTCCTGGACCAATTCCTTGAATTGTTAAAGGGCTAAAAAGAAAACTCAAGTCCTTGCCTTTGTTTTTCTCAGGGATTGCAAGAATGCCACACACTCCAAAAAATGCAGGTGAAAGAATATGAATCATTGTGGGCTTGATCTTTGAAGTCAACTGAATTCTGAAACAAACGGAAGTACAAGGAAACAGCCTATTCTACAAATGTCATCTTTTCACATCACCTCAAATACATATTTAAGGAATAAAAACAGCAAGACCATAATCCTGACAATTAAAAAAAGCCCCCCCATAAACAAACCAAAAATAACACAAAACAAAACATAGTTTCTTTTTTTATATTTTAAAGAGCAGAAGAAAGAAAAGAAAAGAATTTATTTCTGGGTCTCGAAGTTAATAAACATAATAACGTGTTAGGCTGTACCTATTATGCTCACTATTCCAACCTTTTTTTTTTTTTTTTTTTTAGTTTACAAAATGAATTACTGTCACTTTTAAACATTGTGAAACAGGAAATGGATGTGCACAACTCGACACTTTTCTAGCATTCTTGAACTAATTCACAAATGCAAGAAAATAAAAGAAAAATGGGGGAAATGGTGAATGTAGGTAGTTCGGTGTTAAGAACTAATGCAGGAATGATGTGCATTGTCACAGAAAGAAGAGGGGAAATCCCCCATCCTGTTTTGCGTGCTATGAGGGTCATTTTTAAAATTTTTATTATAAACACTATTAAATTCAGACCGCTTTTTTGGTTTTTTTTCTTTATCTGAATATACAAGAACATTCATTATCAAATGTTCATCATCAATACTACAAAGAACGAGACACGAGTCGCAAGAAACAATGGAAAATGTTAATAAAGCTGAAAGAATCGTCGAGTATTTTTTTGTGTTTTTTTAAGTTTTTTTTTTTAAATTTGAGTTTCTGTAGTTTCATCTTTTTTTGGTATCGAAGTCAGGTTTTTCTGGGCAGAAAAATAAAACTCAGAAGGAAAGAGGGGCAGGGAAGATATGTGAGAGAAAAGGCAAATAGTAAATAAAGAACTACCACCACAGCAAAATGAAAAATAAATGGAAAGGTGTCACTTGGCAAAAGTACCGCACAGGAGTCAATTCCAAGCCAGGGGGAGGAGTTAGGGATGAAAAGGAGGATGTGATGAAGAGTTACAAGGTGGGCAAACCCTAGGGCTAGTATCATTTCTCAGGGGAAATCTGCCAGGGAAAATGGAGCGCTCCCACTTCCATCAGAAAATGAAGGAGTCTTGGGGCACATTTTGGTATCTGTAGGATCGACCTAATACGAATTCCCAGGGAGCTGTATTTCCAGAGGCACGCTACTTTCCACCCCCAACCTTCCGCTGCCAGTGTTCTCATGCTTCGCTTAATGCAAAGAGATGTGGTGGCCGCCACGGTGGATGTGATCGTAGGCGAGGAGGGGAAGTCGTGGGAAAGGTACTGGATGTGAAGAGCACTGCATGAAGTGCTAGGTGGGGAAGATGCTGTGAGAGGTGATCAGTGCAAACTACTGCAGGGAGAGAGACTGCCTGTGCAAAGGTAGCACTGCTCTGATCTATTTCATCAGCTTAAAACGGCAATCATTCAACCCAAATCTGGAATCATTCTTCCTGTTTCCAAGAGAACCCTTTTGTGTCCCTTTTGTACTTTGCCCCTAATCAGGGGGAGGCGATCCCACCATATTCCTCTGTGGGTAGTTTCAATAGATCCCTGCCACTCAGACAAAGTTCTCCACTGGTTTTAATCACTGTAGAATGGTCACAGGATGGCTCCTTCCAGGAATCCTCTTTATCAAGCCCTGCTCTGATTATGGCACTGGTTAGAAGAGAGTCTTTCTACTGACCTCAGTCATCCAGGCATGATGCCATCTTGCCAACTATTTACTTTTTGCATTTCCTTCAAATACACATACCTTCTAGTTCCTTAGGTTAACCCCCCGCCTCCCAACACCCACACACAGGAACATTTTCGAACCATTACTGAAGCGTCATGCAGAATGTCCATGACCTTGTTAGCTGGCCACTCTCACCCCTCAGGGTCTTATACCTCTCCCGGAGGCCGCTCAAACATAGCAGATGTGACAGGGACTAAGTAGTTACAAGGCCACATACTGGATTCAAGTACAAGCTTAGAGAACCACGTCCCATTTTTTCCAATTTAGAGACATCTCTATTCTAAGAAACCAAGCAGACCAAAACAAACAGAAGGAACAACACTAACCCTTCTCTTTGTCATCAGGCTGATGACCTCAGGGTACTAATGTTAACCAGAAGTTAGAACAGGAAAACCATTTATTGCCCCTATGTGGCATGAACCAGTTTATCTTAGGGATGCTTCTTCCCCTGACTTCACAATTACAGATTGGATATGAATGAAATCAACTTCTTCGGCCTCTCACACGCCTCTTGGTGAGCCAGGCGTAATAACCCCCATTTTACAGATGAAGAAAATGAGGCACCACCTCCCACTTAGTCAAGTGACAGAGCTGCCATGTTTATTGCCGGCACAGTTGGCTATGAAGCATGTGAGCACAGGCGACATGAGGACAGCTTTCTAGTACCTACTCTTCACGCTCAGATATTACCAGGGAATAAAAATCATGGATGATTTCACTGAAAGCATGACCTCCCTGCTCTCCATCACTCTCAGGTCTTCAAAGTAAGCAAGCAAAAAGTTTGCCCAAGCCATGTTCTTATACGTCTTTCTCCTCCAGGACGAGAATGTTGGAGCCATATAACCCTTTGGATAATTAATACAATGTCCCTAACATAAACACAAAAACAAAACAGAACCAAATCCATTGTAGGCTTTGTAAGTACTGTGTGTGGCTCCCTGAGAGCTCCAGAGGTGGTGAGAACAGGATTGGTTTGTACTGGAAACCTGGGCTTCATCACGATCGAGTCCTGTGTATGTCGTTCTGGTGTGTGCACGCTGGGGGCCTGGAAGCCCCAGGCACACGCTGCTTCTCTGTCAGTGACCTTCACTCAGAGTTGTTAATTCCCTCTCATGGGCTCACAAGGTATAATGCTATGGTTACTAATATAGGTATCTGAATGTGGCACGTGCCTGATTTGGGGCAAGTGAAATGTGTGAGGCTGTGCACATGCCTACGTTTGTATGCTTGTGTGTGTGTGTGTGTGTGTGTGTGTGTGTGAGAGAGAGAGAGAGAGAGAGAGAGAGAGAGAGAGAGAGAGAGAGAGAGAGAGAGAGAAAGGGGATAGGTAAAGGGTTGCAGGATAAGAACCTTCTACTCCTTAGTGATGCATTCACCACCATGCCTAACTCAGACCTGGTTTTGCAGTAGATTCTGAACACCACTTACTGCACGGTCTCCAGAGACTGTCCCTCTGAAACCAAGAGCTGTTATTGGGAAGATGCAAAAGCCTCTAGGAATTCTACCCTTGTTCCTTGAGGCTTCTCTTGCTGCCTGACTTCCTGCTGGGAACCAAGCTAGCAGAGGTGAACCCAGAAACTGTGGCACTTGTAGAAGCCCAGCAAAGGCAGCCCCCAAAGAATACCTGGGGCTGAGAAGGAAGAGGAGGAATTGTATTCTAATCAGAATCGCCCCCGGGGAGGTTAGAGCAAGAGGAGGTAGGGCGGCCTGGAATGAGTAGGGCAATGTGGCGTATTCCTGCTAAGAGGTAGTGAGAGTAACGAGAGAAACAGAGAAGGACTGCCTGTTAACAGAGGGAGCAAGGGATCCCAGGGAGGTAAGTCTGGCCCCTCAAACCACCAGCATGAAAACATACCAACACTTTTATTATTTTCTTTGTATTTTTTTTTTCCTCTTTAAATTCCTCTAATTGTTGAAAATATCCTTCAGGGATGTAATAGAGGGCAGGGACCCAGGGAGTCTAGGACAGAGGGAAAGGGGCAGGGAAGATGATGGACACCAGGCTGACAGCTGGAGGCAGGGAAGGGTGGCTTCTACCCAGAAAAAAAGGGAAGAGAGTATAAAGAAGTGTCCAGATTGGCTGAAACAGCATCCCAAAGAAGAGAAGAGAAGGAGACTCTTATTGTGTGTGCTGATTGCTTCGACCTCCAGTCTGACCGCTTCAGCGTTGAGAAACCCTCCCTCCTGGCCCGGCCCCGACTGGAGCACAGGGTCAGCCGGGATGCGACTGCTGGGAGATCAGTTGGAGGTATCAGAGTGAACACTGCCAGGGCCTTCTGTAGGGGAGGTCACTGATGAAGGGGTAGTAGCATCCTGCCAACCTCCATTAGCCTAGAAGGGAAAAAGGGAGAGAAGTCAGTCCTCTGAGATCGGGTGGCCGTTCTGAGCAGACAATGACAATAAGGCAACTCGGGTAAAGGGCCGAGCACAGTGCCTGGCCCACGGGAACACTCATCCAACGGGCGGCTAAGACTGTGGTCGATAATGCCCACCTCCCCCACCCTCAGATGAGTTTGGCTCTTCCCAGCGAGCCTCTGGACACAGTACCAGCACCTCTCCCTTCTCACAGGCTTTGTAATTCAGTCCAAGCCACCAGATGATTGTTCTGTGTGCTCTAGGATGACGGCAGCTGTCCCTGCAGGCCAAGGGACCGAGTTCTAGCTCCGACCCTGGCAACAATTAGCTATTGGTTCTGGCGAAGCACTTCCCCCTGTTTGGCCTTGGGTTCCCCTTTAGAAAACTTAAAAGATTAGCTCAAATGCTTTCTCAGGTCCTTTCCAGCTCTGGATGTTCCCTGTATTGTGGGATCCCAGGCACCTGTTCTACGCAAGGTTCTGTTCTAGCTGCTCGAGGGTATATAATGATGAGTGAGATACAGTTCATGTCCTCAAGTATGGGGATGAGACAAGCAGACGAATGAACTATAATGTCAGGCAGAACCTAATACATGGTACAGCCCAGTTGTCATGAAGCTTCAAATGAAGGCAGTATCTCCTCTTGAGGCAGTATCAGCAAAGGCTTCATGGAGGAGGGATTCTCTGAGGTGAGCCTTGAAAAGCGGGTGATCAGACGAATAAAACAGGTAAAACAATGGTGCCAACACCACAAGCACTGGTCTGTGTGACTTTATCTAAAAAGGTGGTAAGACAGGAAGCTACAAGTTTGATCTGTATTTGTAGATCATCTTCTAAGACTCTAAATCCAGATGCATTAAAACAATAACATTGTCCTAAAAGGATTTGTTTTAATGACCACCCCTTTCCAAAAATACCCCACCATTAAACAGCTGAAGAATGATTTGCTACAGTGGTTGATTCATGACTGTTCACATATTTTAAAGCACTGAACTGTACATGTGCTAAAAGGCCCCTTTTCCCCAGTCACTGGGTTCCTTTGAAGTTAATAGACTCTCGACACTGGAAATGTTAATACTGAACAGACCAGATTTTAGGGAGTCCTGGTAAATTATTTTTATTGTACTTTCCTCTCCTTTTACTCCCTGAAGTAGGTGGGGGTACCTGGGGGTAGGTATTATTATTGCCATTTGGGAGGGACCACAGCTTCCACCCTAGTATAACCCACAGTACTTAGGAGCATGGCTGGCACTTGTAGGTGCCGGCAAACATCCATTCACGTTTCATTCATAAGAAAGCACAGGTGTAAGAGAAAATCAGCCTTCCAGATTCCGACTGAGACAGAACACAGGCTTCCTAACCTTTGAACCGGGCTCCTTTTTCTCTGCCCTTTTCATCCATTTGGCTCTCTCTGTCATTGGCTCACCCAAATGACGCTCCAATGTTCCCAGGAAAGCCAGGCTTTTCATTCAGAGATGCTCCCACCACTTACTTCAGCATGAGGGTAGGTGTTTCCCCACACACCTCACTTTAAGAGCAGATCTGGACACTAAGCGGGCAAAAGGTCATCCTGGGTAATGCCAGGAACACGGCCCCTCAATCTTGGATTATCGAATAACTGCTCTCAAGTTCAAATCTCCATCTCTTAACTGAGTCAGGCAGCTCTACCCACTCCCTTTTTCTGTTGGACGCCATTTCCCCTGCTGTTTGTTAAAGAGAGATTAGAAAGAGGGCAATGAGGGGAAAATGAGAATTCTTTCTCTTATAACAGGAGGCTTTGCTATCTTTTGGGGCCTAAGCCTCTGTAGTATGATCAGAATCAAGAAAAGAACTCATTCAATTTCCACATTTAGGTTGGTCACCAGAGTGACAATATCTTACTTAGCCTCCCCTCTCAACCAAGAACACATGTATTCTTTTGGTACCATTTTAGGCTGATTGAGAATCATCGTTCTGTTTATTTTTCCCTGAAGAAAATCCTTCAGCATCATTTATCTTTTCTGACGATAAAAGTAAGATGTGCTTATACGATATTTGCAAATACAATATTTGCAATTATGCATGCAATATCATATTTGAAAATAGGAGAATTGGAAAGAACAAAGAGTACTACAGCCATAATCCTACTACCCAGAGATAATTACTCTTAGCATTTTGATATGCATCCTAATAATTTTTTAATATGTGTATGTTTATCAGATAGGTAGATAAATAAATTAATTAACTCACTAATTAAATAGACTGGAAGGGGTGTGTGTGTGTGTGTGTGTGTGTGCTGGTAGCATGGGATTTTAGGAAACTTTCCAGGAGCTCCATAAGCACAACATCATAAAGCAGAGAGTGAGGTGCTTATAAAAGAGGAAAAATGTCATGCATCTTAGACTTGACCTGGTATGAGACAAGTAGGGGAGGAAAATCTCTAAAGCAGCTAGTGTCCATGTCACAGCACGTGGCACAAAGGCATGTCATTACATTGCTTACAAATTACCAGCACTACCATTGTCGAGCCATACCATAATTCCATTAAAATAACAGTAAGTGGTGCCCCAAATGAAGCCAGTAGTAAAAAAAAAAGGAGCTCTGTGGCATTTCATTAGCAGGGAATTAGCAAGACACTGTATATTGACCAGAAGGTTCTAGGAGACTTCTTTTTGAGTCATCTCTGAGCTGAAATAACTCAAACAGCAGACATTTGATCTCTTTCCTTCAAAAGTTCTGTTTTCTCAGACCAGTGCTCAGGACGCCAGAGGGGAGAGAGAGCTCACAGATGGTGGAAACAGGAATTAGTGCAGCCTGATACCAAAACCAGCATTTAAATTATGCTAGTTGGCCTGGTGAAGAAGAGTATATAAAACCTTAAAAAACCTTATTAAAAATAAAGAAAGAAAACAAATCTCTTCAACTGCCTTTTCTTCACTCCCCCTCCATCCACAAACACACACACAGACACATATGCACACACACTTCAGATGGGGTGACCAATTGCCCCAGTTTGCCCAGGACTCTGGGATTTAATGGAATGGGGGATTTTCAGTCCCGGGTCACCCTACCCCAGGATATCCCAGCTATTACCCTTGACTTCTTGCTAAATTCAGGACACTGTAGCCTATGGGTTTCAAGTTAGATGAATGCAAGTACTTTTTAGAACAAACGAGTCTAACACTGGGAAATGCTGAAGGATCCTTTTCTCTGGAGGTGCTTTCTACCATGGCATATTGTCTGCCGCTGCTCGTGCTGCTGCTAAAGCCTCCGTGAGATCAGAAAGTGCGAGCAAATCCACCCTAACCGGCTTTCCCGTAAATCACTTCGGCCGTTTCAGCTGTATCATTCCAGCTTTAATGTAAGACGTTCAGAGGCTGCACCGTCTTGGGAAACAGCTGACCTCGCTTACTGCCACGTTAACCCGGGGAGCAATTCCTTCCCTCTTCCTCCACTGCGGGTGAATATTAAGTAGGAAACGCCGCCTTTGTGTGTTTGTTTATCTCTGGGAACAGTGAGAGTCAAAGATGGTCTCATTAACAACCGTGTGAGGTGGCGGGAAAATAAGACCTCTGTTTTAATTTTTCTTCTGCACTCCAACTGCCTCCTTCACTCTCCGATGCAAACCAGCCTTTAAAGGGACACACTCACTTTGTAAAATGCTGTTGTTGGAAACCACCCTGAGGGGATACAGGGGTGGGAATCTGTAAAGCCAAATATGCCTCCATAATGGGAGAGAGTTCACATTTACACCCAGTTCCTTCAGGTTAATTCTGTAGCCTGTGGCCTGGGAAGCAAGACTTGGTGTAACATTTAATTCCACCAGGGGAAATCTAAGCCGGCAGCAGGCTTGACCTGGAACCTCATGAAGAGGAAGCTAATAGAATATAGAATTAGGACAAAACGCAGTAGATTTCCTAGTTAAGAAAATCTGGACTTTCAAAACACAAATTCAAGGCATTTGGGAACAAAGTGTTTCAGGAACAAAAATGACTACTCTCTATCCTACCCACATAACTTGATAGATGCCACATTTTGCCAGAATCCCACCTAATGGATAAGGCAAAGCACGCCTATCAGAGGAGGTGGAGGAAGCCAGCCATGGAGCTGGGGATGGAGCGATGGTGGGTGGCAAAACCCGCACGGCTCCTCCTGACATACACAGGAGCACAGAACTGCAGCTTAAGCCCTGACTTCCCTGTCCTCTGTTGCCCTCCTCGAGCCAGAACTCAGGGGGCCACCAGCCTCTCCCTCGCTGTTGCGGAGCCAGTACCCCTTTTCACCCAGAGCAGCGGCTGCTGGGCTGAGTGAGAACCGCTGGTCCCATGCTGCTCTTATTCCCGCTCTTCCTCTGAGCTTACCTTAGCAGTACACGGTTGATGCAGAGAATTCATCACCTGATATGACAGCCCAAGCGAGCCTGGCACTAAGAAACTCTCATTTGCAACCCAGAAATACACTGAGGTGCCACAAACCGGCTGATGTCAGCACCGAGTTGAGCTTGATATGCATATGGGCCAGATGCCATTACCAGCAATGCCTTCAGCAAGGGTGAGGTAGACGTGCTCCAGGCCCTCAATAACCCAGGCTCTGGTGGGGCCAGCCAGGAAGAAAAACAAAGAAACATGCATGCATCCTCTCCCCCCCCACCCCACACACTTGCACATACAAGCACACACACAGCCACCATTTATCAGGGGAGACATCAGCTCACACAGTGGAGTCACACCTAGATCCAACATTCTTCCACCAAGACAGAACTATGTCTTGCTGATGTGCATAGACTTTTCCCAAGATTATTCTGTGAGCACTTCCCAAGAGATGCTCTGGGATGAAAAAATGCTACTGGAAAGCCCCCTTAGGGACAAAGGATTCAAAATTTCCCTGGGAAATTTTACAACAGTAAACAGACCCACGCCTATTCTGGCATCCCTACAGTTCCCTCTCGAGCTGCCCTCAGCGTGATCTTTCACAAATGTAGTTTTGATCATGTCACCT